CATTCCTGGCTCCAGGTGGCCCTGCTCCAGAATCCTAGGGGTCTGCATAGTGATTCTCCTAGTCCTAGGCCTTGTCATAAACTCTATCGGCATCTTTTCCCACCAGGTACCTCAAGCACCATGGATTCTGCCAGATCACATGGTCCACAGAGCATGGCTCCTTGTACTATAGCTCCCACCAGAACTGGCAGCCTTACGTGTCATCCACTCTAAGGGATGGAGTGGTATTCCCAGATGTGGATCCCTATGCTGCCTCCAACACCCAGAGAGACCTACCGGCACTGTGCTTCCTTCCTAATGGGGGAGGGGAGGCGCAACAATTTGCCTTTTACTTTGGAGGGCATGTCCCGAGCATATCCCAGACCATTGGCCCCTAAAAATTTCACTGATATGTCAGGCCCCGGAATCTTCACATTATTTTCTTACACTCTCTGCAATGCACGTGTCCCACTGAGGCTTCTAATACACTCATCATGTCTTGCTCATCTGGCCCAGTTAGCTGATGTCATCAATGTTGTGGATCACTGTGATGTGATGTTCTGCAAGATGCCTAGGCCGTATAGGCTTTTTCAGACTAGGTTGTGAGACAGTGGGTGCGTTAACAGCCCTGAGGCAAAGCTGTAAATGTATGTTTTTATCTGTCCCGAGCAAATACGAACACTGATCTTCCTTTCTGATAGGGAAGGAAAAGAGTAATATTCACCAGATCAACGGCTCCATACCATGCAGCTGAGAACATGTAAATGTGCTCTAGGAAAGAGGCCACATCTGGCACCGCAGCTGCAGTGGGAGCTTCCACTTGGTTGACTTTGCTGGAGTTCACTGCCATCGTCCAGGAGCCATCTGATTTTTGTAGGGACCAGCGAATTAAGTAGAGACATAACAGCAATCATTATCTCTGCATCCTTTAGGTCTTTGAGGATGACATTTATCTTTGCCATTCCCTGATTACTAATGAGGTTGAGCATCTTCTAACACGTTTATTGGCTTCTTATTTCCTTTTCTTTAAATTCCCATAATTCATAATCATTTGCTTTTTTTAATGGTTTATCTAGTCCTTGGCACTTACCTTTGCGACTGTGAACTTGGGGCCACAGACTATGTCTTATTTATCCCTATGACCCTTGGATCCAGCCCATAGGAACTCAATAAATAAGCACTGAAAGAGTGATTTTAACAAGATGAAGGAGCAGCATTTAATTGGATATCCTGGTCTTCTTGAATCTTGAAACTAACTTCCTTAGCTATGTATGAGTAAGCAATCATTTTGGTGGATTTCAAAGAAAATACAATGTCGCCCTGACTGGCGTGGCTCAGCTGGCTGAGTGTCATCCCACAAAGTGAAAGGTCAGGGCACATGCCTGGGTTGCAGGCCTGGTCCCAGGTTGGGGCGCGTGTGTGAGGCAAGTGATTGGTTGATGTTTCTCTCCCTCTCTTTCTCCCTCCCTTTCTCTAAAACTAAATAAAAAATAAAACCTTAAAAAAGTATACAGTATCATCCGATCAAATCATTGCTCTTCAGAAATCAAGGCAGTGCCACTGAGTTAATCAAAGCTCCTAAAGCCTTGTTTTCTGGATGGACTCCCTTCGATAGCAATAATGGGCTGTAACAAACTGAGCCTTCGTTCCATACGGCTGTGATAAACGCGTCCAAAACACATTACAAATCTCAGAATGAGGCTCTGAGGGCCTGAGGCTGCAGCAAAAGAAAACCAGGGTTGACAGGCACAAGTGTAAGAACCTGATATTCTTTAAATGAAAAAAGGCCGGCTGCCTGCTCCCGTACCGCTGAACACAGTAAATGCATTATCTGAGCCTCCTGCCGTTTTTCAAACCTGGGACTCTCCAATGACATGTTTGGTCAACTCTAAACTTCATCTGTCAAAAAAAAAATCTGTAATTTACTGAATCTCGAGTGTTTCTTTCCTTTACCATAAAATGTTGGAGTTCTAAAAGTTTTTAAATTTTTAAACTGTTTATGTACGAACATTTTTATTTTCCTAAAATGTACATCTCATTAGCTCCCTTCTCCAAAACATCTCATGACCTCCCATTGTCCAAAGGCTAAAGTCCAAACTTCTCAAGGCCCCCAAGGCCCTGGTTAATTTTTCTGCCCCATTGCTCTCCACCATTCCTAAGAACCTCATGCCTCCACCACTTCCTATCATTTGACTTTACTGACACGAGGCGTATACTTTACACCTCTGGGCTTTTGTACACGTACTGATCCCTCTGCTAAGAACTCCTATCCATCCTTCAAGACTTGGGCTCAGACATTAACTGTCTGTAAAGACTTTTCCTTCCCTTAGGATGGTATTCACTCCTTTTTCCACTTTCTCAACATTTTAAATAATTATCTACAATAAACACCTAATATGCTATTTTGCAATTATTTACTGATGTGTCTGTCTCCCCACCAGACTAAGAGCTCCTCAATGATAGAAATTATATTTCATCTATTGCAGTTTCCCCAATACCAGTCTAGTCCTTGGCACACAGCAGACAGGCAACATTTGTTGACTGAATGAATGAAAATTAAGACTCAGTCCCTACCCAAAGGACCAGGACTCCAATTTAACCACCGGAAGAAAAGGATCAATAAGCTGCTGAAACAGACTCTAAGAGTATTTAATCTCCCAAACTTCATCTAGCAACCAAACACATTTAGAACACATATTCAGGCTTAGACTTACAGGTAACTCAGAGGTCCTAGGAACTTTTCTCACCCCATTTCAGGAGCTGAACCCTTCATTTCTAGCAGGTGCTTCTGAGAGGGTGGGTCAGCTGGGAGGGACGTGTGCAAGCCTTTCCTTGGACAAGCACTCATGGCAGCTGCACTAGCGTTCATGGAAATTCTGCACATGCATCAAGGAGAAAACGGCCACAAACAACACAGCCTGCTCTCCAATCTCCAAAGCACATCTCTGCAATCACTCTACTTTCCAGCTATCACCACTGAAGCCTTTCAGCCACAGAGCAATTTGTTTTCAACTTACTCTGGGTTCTTAAGTTAGCATAACTTTTTGGTTGCTTATAAATGAAGCTTCCGACTTCTAGTCTGTCCCCTGCTCCAGCTTCTCTTCCACAGCCTATTAACAAAAGACTAACCAGTTCCTGCTTAGAATCAATCCATACAACTTCACCTGTTGCTCAAGACCCTTCAGATTTGGTCCTGGTCCTGTCTTCCTCTCCTGCCTCATTGCCAGCTCCTCTCCTCTGCGGCAGCCATACCAATTGCCCTCCAGGGGTCTCACAGTTCTGAGGCTTTCCATACTCTGCTTTCTTTGCCAGGCATTCACCTCAATCACGTAATTAACTACTTCTGCCCTTCAAGACCTGTTGCATACAGGTATCGCCTCCTCCAGGAAGTATTACTTGATTGGATTAGATGCCTTTTCTGTGCACCCCAAACTAGTCATTCAACTATTCAACAGTCATGGAGAACTAGTTTGTGCCAGGCTTTGTTCTAGGCACTGGAGATACAGCAAGGAACAAAATGAAGACTTTGCTTTCATGAAGCTTAAATTATTTTTGTGAATTTAATGAAATTTTATTGGAGTAACATGGCTTACTAACATTATATAAGTTGCAGGTATACAATTCTATAAAACATCACCCATATATGGCACTCTGTGCTTACACCCCACGTCTAGTCTCCTTCTATCACCACGTATTTGACCCCCTTTCACCTTTTTCTTCCCCCTGGCCTCCCCCTCTGGTAACCACCGTGATGTTGTGCCGTGAGTTCCTGTTACAGTCTAGTGGGAAGACAGAATCAAAAGTGCAGCCATAGAACACGGGGATAGGTACAGAGCGATACACAGGGCATCGCGGCCGGGCAGGAGAGGGAATTAGGTAGAGCTGCACTTCAGAGAGACACGATAGCATGAGAAAATGCTTAGAGGGGGAGTGACGTGCTGGGACTTATGGTGTTGACATGTCACTTTGTTTCCAGCACAGAGAGGTAGATTTGAAGAAGCTAAGCCTGGATGCAAAGGGACCAGTTAGGAAGCCCTGTAGTCATCTGGCTGACAGAGGATAAAGTCCCAAAGTGGTCCTAGGGATGGAGAAGGGGCAAGAGATTCTAAATATATGTGAGAAGTAAAACCTTTAGGGCTTGACTAGGTCAGGGTAGGAGAGGTGGCGTGTAGGTGACCCCCAGGTTCCTAGCTAGAGTGCCTGGGTTGCCAGTATTGCCAAGCGGGAGAAGACATGTTATATGTGAGATGCCATCTGAAACTCAGGGACCAGGCATGGTCTGAAGACCATGCAAATTAGAGTACCATCCTCATGTAACCATGAGAGTAAATGAAATCAACCAGGGAGACTGAATCCAGTCAAACAGACTTGGGTTTTGAATCTTAGCTCTGCCATTCACTATCTGTGTGACCTTGAGTAAGTGACTAAACCATTCTGAGCCTCCCTTTTCTCATCTTTAGTGGGATATTATTATTATTCAAATGTCTATCACAGTGCCGAGCACAGGGGAGGTGCTTAATTATTATTCTAGCTCCAGTACTTCCTAGCAGTGGAAAACTGAACAAGATGCTTCTGCCTGGTGAGCCTGAGGGTCTCTCTACAATTCCTGCTAGGCACCCATAGCACCTTGTGGAATGGGTGCTCACTAAATGGATGCTGAATAAATGAGGAAACCTAAAAAAACGGAAACAATACCTACGAACAGAACAGATGAGAGGATTAAACAGGATCAAAAACACTGTGTAAAGATCAGTGTAAATGCTAACGAATCAATCACCTAGCACTCAGAAGGTGCACGACATTAGTCCCTTCCTTTCTGTCCTTGCTTTTTAACACGTTGTCTTTTTTTTTTTTGTATTTTAAACCTCTCTTTTTTTATTAGCTCTGCCTTTTCAGATGACAAACACGCGCCAGTCTCCCCTGACCTAATAAACCTTCCTTGGATCTTGCTATCTCAGATTCTAGTCCAATCATTCTTCACTTTCACAAAACTATACTTTTTCTCAACACAACACCCTTTTCAATGAACAAGCCATATCTTTTGTTTTAGGGAAGAAACAAGTCCCAGTTTATTATTACTTTAAAAAAAAGCAAATATCATTTACATAATTGTTCAAGCAGAACTATATATATTTCATTTTAAAATACATATGTATGTAATATTTCTACTACAGTAGTTCATTTCAAAAGGAATTTCATTATGTATCTTCCACCGAGCCCTGAACCGAGAGAGTCAACGTATTCAAACAAACCCCAAGGTGTGGAGATGCTTCAAGTCAGTTCTTCATTAGGAGCCTCAGCATGGGGGCTCCGGAGACCCCACCGAAGGTTTTCCGGGGAGAGCTGAGATGTTCAGATAAGCGAGTTCTGGAAAGAAGGGGTAGCTGGCTGGCGGCGGCAGGCTCACCCCTGGGGTAGAGCAAGGAGAACAGACAGGGGAGTTCTGAGAGGCACCAGCGCTATCTAAACTCAGGGGGACGGGACCAAGTGAGCGGCAGCAGTAATTGAGTTTCAGTTACCTGCGGGGTGGCGAAATAAAGCAGTAACTTCATCTGCCTGACGTGGGGAAAGTTTAGAGGTGTCCTTGGCATACTCACAGTAAAATCCGTCACCTTTTGCTGTGTTGGGTGATGGCAACCACACAGCACTGGCTTCCTAGTGACAGCCAGCGCACGTCCTGTTAGGCAGCACCGGCGTGCTCCAGCTAATGAAGCATTTCCTGCAGGCCTGTCTCCCAGGGCTCTCTGCATCCTCTGTCTGAAGGAATGGCACCATGGGAAAATTCAGCACAGCCAGCATCAGCCATCACCCAAACTCAAAAGAGTCTTTGAATGGCAGAGAGGGGCCCATTTTCTTTTCTGCCGAGCCCGGGGTTAGAACCGTCCTCAGGTCATTTTCTGTGGGTCTGTACAAACGCGCCGACTGGCAGCGCGCCGCTCTTCACCTGAGCCCGGATTTCAGCTCGGTGCTTTAATGTGAAGACCAGGGCTCTCACCGTCCGCCTGTACGGCCCATTAATGAGGCGGGAGCAGAGATGAAACGTTTCTCGCTCAATATTTTCAACCAGTAGGTGATCCATCTAAAAAACAGCAAAATTATCAAATTAGGGCCTCGCATTGCATACGGATTAAAAAACAAGAGAGGCTGGAACACTCTGCTCAGAGGCTTCCATTAATCAACTGAAATTCAAGGACATCTACTTCCTGTCACAAGAGAAACAGGAAGAGCAAATTAATTCCACCCTGGCAATTAAGGAACAAGGCCATGTGCTTTGTGACAGGGACCTCACTCACAACCCCTGCCGGGTGGTAATATTTGCCATTATAACAGGAAACTGGCCCGAACTAAGCAACGGGTACTGGGCCCTGTACTTTACCAACCAGGAAACGAAGACCAAGGGCAATAAATCAGTATAACAGTTTATACTTTTTTTTTCATTTGTTTTAAAAGTGCTTTTAACCCCTCACTGCATTTCAGAAATACTGGATCTGAATCCCAATATGTGTGTAGAGCAGTTTGTTAAGCACTTTTCACATTTAATGCTCACAACTCCTATTATCTCATTTTACAGATGAGGAAATGGGTTGAAAGGTAGAAAGAGGTTCAAGGGCTTACAACCCCTGAGAGGCAGAGCTGGGACTCTGACCTGGAGCCCCAACTCCAAAGTTCATGTTCCTTTCGCCATACTAACTGCCTCCTCAACATTCTGAGACCAGCAGAGTTCGGAGAGACGTTTGCAGGGTCAGCGAAGCAGACCAGGCCTAGGGGGCGCGACCTGTAGTGATTCTGGCGTGGCGTGGCTCAGGCCCAAGTCCTCCTAAGGCCACAGACGTAATTCAAGTAGGACAGGTCTGTAACTTTGTCCACACGGTCTACATCCAGGTCAGGTTGGGCTGCTGGTCAGGGAGCCCCTCCGCCCTATCTTTCTTTCCAGGCCCACTCCCCACTATCCCCTCGCCAGTCCCCAGCACGGCCCAGCATGAGCCCACTAAGCTGCTTTCACAAACCTCTCCGCCTCTGCACAGTATGTGTTCCCTCAGCAAGGTACACTTCACCTAGGAAACCCATTCCTATTTGTATGTCAAAACTTAGCTAAAAAGCAAAATGCAAAACAAAACAAAACAAAAAACTCCCGAAAAAAACCCCAACGAATAAACCAACCAAAAAAAACAAAACAACAAAAGCAAACCCTTGTTCAGAGTTCTGAAGGTTCTGCTTTGGGCTGCCACCACGTCTGGAGCTCCCCTTAGTCATTACCAGAATATATTACAATGATGCATTTTTTGTCTGTCTCCCCTGAGGGTGAGACCCTTGAATACAGGACACAAATGTCTCACTCACTTCCTTTTTTCCCCTTCATTCAAATATTTATTCAGTACTTACTATGTGCCAGGCTCTGTGCTTGGGGAGGGAGAAAAAGCAGGACAAGGCTGGCGCAGTCTTGGACTCCACAGAGGGCACAGTCCAGTAAGCACCAGGTAGGGGACTGGGATTCCAAGAGTACTGAATGCCAGGAAAGAGGCCGGAAACGCGTGCTGGGGCGCAGGGGTACAGCAGCGGGGCCCAACCCAGCAGGGCAGGGTCTGGCTGCGTAAAGTGAGCATCTGCTTTGTGATAAACTCACTGACCAGCATATATATCTTCTGTGCACTTTTGCTATGTATATACTACACTGTTGTTTAAAACGAAAAGTTTAAGGAAAAAATGTACCAAAAGTAAAAAAGGATCACCTGACATTTAATAAAATATCCTAATATAAGGGACAGACCAAAACAACTAGAGAAAAGAAATTTGGAAGCAATAAGGACCGAGCAGGGAGCAGAAGAGACCGAGAGAGAAAGAGACAGAGGATGAATGAATGTCCAGGCCCAGACACCTGCCTGAGCACAGCAGACAGAAGACATTCAGGGAAGCCTGTGGTCCTGATGACTGACTGGCCACCTAGGTGGTGCTGGGGTGAGTGGATGTGGCACCACGGCTGTCCAGAACCCAGACTCCTCAAGCTTTTCATGGCCTCCAGCGTGTGCACTGACCGAACCCCCGGCCTGCGGCAGCCCTGGTAGCAGATTCCTTCGGGAGGCTGGAAGGGCGGCTGGCTGGCTGCCCGGCATCTGTCCAGAAACATATGCCAGAGAGGCTCCTTGATCTGGTGTGAGGATGGTTAGTCACTGACTGTTTAGAGATTCACTCAGTATAACAGTCAAGAAAAGTTTGTTTTTAAAAAAAATTTTGAGGGGGGGTTGTTTGGAGGAAAAGAGTATATATACATGCATTTCCAAAACAGGTTGTGGCTATTCCACCAAATCGTAGTATATATACAAAATAAAAAAGAACTTGCAGAGCACCCTGGAATTCACCAAACTGCATACTCACACATTATTTCACTTAGCAAGTGGTCACTGAGTTGCTAGGCTGAGTCTGGCCTGATCTGGGGAGTGGGGAGCCTGGGCAGAAGAGACCTGGCCCGACCCTCCAGGAACTCACGGCCCAGAAAGGAGACGGCATGTACACAGACAGCTGTGGGGTAGTGGGAGAGTGTTCCACCCACCATGTGGCGGGAACAGGGAGCAAGCATCTAACAGTTCTCATATCTTCTTACTAAAACTAAATGAAGGCCAATCAGAATGAAGAAACGAAGAAAAACACCAGTGATATTAAAATGTAAATTATATGGGAAAATGATTTATCACGTACCTTTCTGTATAGCAAGTTCATTGCACAAAGTGAAGAATGCCTGTCTTATAACTGCCTTTGGATAACCCAACGCCCCCCGCCCCAAGTTACTGTGTCTTTTCCAACAGGTCCTAACCTGGTGACTTAGGTAAGCCCTTGGGGACTTATCTAAAGGACCACAGTCTCACTGAGACCTTGAGAAAAAAGGGTTTTGCTGTGTGATGTAACCATAGGAATGGGAATAGGAATCCTGTTAAAAAACATACAGATTTATTTGGGGACCATGTGCCTTCTCTGCCTCTCATGATCCGCCTGCACTCCTCCTCCCCACAGGTTTCTGCTCCTCTCCATGTGCCTTACCACCAGTTCTAACTACCGCAGTCTCTCCCCATACTCTACACATCTCTACTCAAAGCTGCTGCTTCCTCATCACTCCTCCAACATCCTCTGTTTCAACACTCCCACTGTTGTTTTCTTAGTATTTCCTAGTTCACATTTCTCAGAGACAGAATTTGATTTGCCTTCCCTATCTATTTGTACCTGTGAGTTACTCAGTTGTCCAATCCCAGACGAATCGGCGATAGCTGGGAGAAGATCTAAAGCATGACCACTTAGAGCTGTCTTCATCAAGGATTCTGGCCTCAGTGGGAAATGGTGCTATGATCAATTAGTGATGTCTACCACATCTGTGAGCCCTTTAGAAAAAGGGAACAAGGCCTTCTTCACGTGTGTGCCTTAAGTGCAGAACTTCCTACATTGTGCTGTAACTATCTCCCTCAGAAGACTGTGAGAGCCTTTCCAGGGGTGGGACTGTGTTGGATCCCTTTCTAAATCCCCCAGGCCCAGCATAGGTACTAGCAGATGCTAAGAGTTCGGTAGATACTTGTTAAATGAATGTCCTTTCCCCCCTAGGTAACCTCGTTCCGTTCCTGCTCTTTCAAATACATCCTATACATAGTAGATAAGAAATGTAATGTGAAATATAATGCTTCTATCTAATGCTTCCATTTTATATGTATTTTCTAGTTAGCAAAATCCTACCTCTCCTGCAAAGGCCAGTTCAATTGCCATCTGTTCTATAAAACCTTCCCAGATTCCCCCATCAGATTTCACTTTCTGTCCTTTGTGTGTCTACACCACTTGCTAGTACCACTATTTCAGATATATTTCATCTTGCCTTGTATTAGTCATTTACAGGCTCTCAGCCAGGAGACGGTAAGCTTTCTTAAGACAGGGAGTGCAACACACTTGTGTTTGCGTTCTCCCTGGCACTAGGAGTAGTAGTACTAAATACTTGTTGAATTGAATGTCCACTGGAAGCAAACTTTGTGTGGGTTTTAGCACACATAGGATGATTGGATTTGTACACATCTAACCACACTCCTTTCTGACCACTTAAATACATTTATAAAAGAGCTGGTCAAAGCCAGAGGTGCAGCCTGAAGCCATTAAACAAAGAAAAAACTAACAGTACCATACGGGGACTCGCCCCTGACCTGGATCTCATTAGCACCATCTGACAACCAACCGGGCCAACCAGCCAGCGTTTCATAACTCTTAATGATACAGGCTCACTTTGAGAATCGGGTTCATTTTTTTTTAATGACATAATAGGAAAATGATCACAGGCCATGAGGTAGGAAGGAGAGTGGATAATGAGAAAGGGGAAGTAAGAGAATGACACCATAGGGGACGTTCATACGAGGAAAGATCTGAAAGACAGAGCAGAACAAAGAAGATCTGGAAGGGAGAAAGTAAAGGGGAATGGAGCCAGGGTCTCAACAATGGAGTTTTTATTCATCTGTTCCATTATTCCAAGAACAAGGAAACAATCCATGAATTTGGAAAGCAAGATCTACACGGTAACAGAGAGACAATTTGGCTGTGTGTGTGTGTTCCTCATCTGCGGTTTTCACTAGTAAAGAATATGACCAAAACAAAGAACATGAAAATAATTTTTCTGCAAAAATGTAATGAGTAGATCTACAAAAACACGTTAGGATCAAATTGTAAAGGCTGCTTAGTCATTGGGCCAACAACTTGACTCACCAATGACTCACTACTGCCCAATGAAGAGCACTTGTTGAGATCGGATGTCTGATATGAATGCACTCAGCGCTGATATGAATGCACTCAGCGCTGGTTATTGTCAAAGACCAGATACTGACTGTGTTAGATGGCTCACTGATTTATCCTAATATGGAAATGTTTCAGATAATAGGTGCTAAGAGTTAACTTTTATGCAAAAGTGTTTATATTTATAATTCTTTGACATATCAAACTGATAAAATTACTATCCATAGTGTTTTATGCAACAAAAATAGATTTGATTTTTTTTTTGGCCAAGAAAGAATAAGATGCATACTTTTAATTTTTAAAATTTACTCTTTGGGAACAAAACCACTCAACTGTGCTTAATCTGATATTTTTTCCAATTACGTTGGAAAGCACTAACGAATGTATCACTTTTTTAACTTTGCTTTGTAACACTTGAGTGCTTACCACTTGATGTGCCATTTAAAGTATAATTAATGGATAAACTAAAAGGATAATTATTATGGAGTTTAATATAGCAGGCAAACTGCTTATTAATCCTTACAAGCATTGCTTCGTTATTATCATTTACTTAAAAAGATACCACAGGGAACTGGTATTTACCACCACATTAACTACATATTATATACCCACACTCTATGTTTCTGTAATCATTTTGGTTTATTTAAAAAAATAAACTTTATTTAAAATATCAAATAGCAAGTCTTGTTGGCTAATCAATATTCTGGAAAATTAGATTTATAATCTTCATATTTTTTGTTTCTTCCAAGGATTTAATATTCATAATTAAAGTTTCCTTTGGGAAAAGGTAAGCCAACTTAACAACATAGCAATTCGCTGAACTATCAAGTAACATTAGAAATTATAAAAGTAAAAAAATAAACATATATAAATGATATACAAAATGATGGACTGATATTGATCAAGACTAAAAAGACAACACAAATGTAAATAATTGTCAATTTTCTGCCATGTTATTTAAATAATCAATAAAACTATCTTATGGAACACTTAGTATATAATAACAGATCTAGTATTTTAATCAGACTTCCAAATTACTTCTTTTGTTAATAATATTAAATTAGTCTTAAGGGAACTTTAATAGGGATACCCTAAGAAAAACAAAAATGTAGATGTTGTGTGTCTGATTTTTCCAGAGTATGAACTAACCTCTAAGATTTGTTTGATGATGGTGTTTCATATTATTGTTAGTGAGCAAAAATCCTTCTAGCACGTGTATCTCAAACCACCAATGTCATCTGAACTGTTGAATATGAAGATGATAGGAATTATGTCTAGCCAATTTATTATATGTTTTAGAACCAAAGGTATGAATGTGGAAAAATGTTATTAATTTTGCCATTGATATTCCATAACAGAGTCCACCCCAGAATTTTTGCTTCAGTGGAAAGGGAAGGATTTTAAATGGAAGGAGCCAACGTTCACTAAGTGACTTCTAATCACCAGGCACTGCATTATTCTTTTGTATAAATGGATCACTTGCTCTTTCCAATAACTTTAGATCATAGGAATAATAATCATTTTACACATAAAAAAATCAAGTCTCAGAAATGTTAAGAGATTTGCCTAAGGTGCCACAGCTAGAGCCAGGGTTTTAGTGCAGGTTTTGCCAGTTCCTTTCCACAACACTGTCTCCCAGAATGATGACAAACCCAGAACCCTTAAAGAAAAAGACAACATAGACCCACAGCACTACAACTATTAAAGCTCATCATGAAAATGTGAGGCTCATTTAACCACGATCTCCTAGTTAATCACATTCCCACCAGACATTACCTCCAATTCCAACACTTCTGAGAGTAGTTTCTGGGCATTTTTCCTAAATGTCTCAGTTTTGGAATCACTTCGGACTTCGATAGAAGGTCTATCCGTGTGTTTCTCCATGAAAGTTCTCCACTCAGTGTAAACTTCTCTGGCAAGACACGCCACTTCTGGGTCTGAGTGTTGACGCATCTTATTCACAGTGTGACCTGGAAGGAGAGAAGGGGAACCAAAGGAAAAGTTGTTCTGTTTTCTAAAAAGTACAGGACTAGATGGACTGAAGTGTGTATGACACTTAGAAAGTAATATACATACCTAAAAAATTTTGAGGCTCTTGGGCAAATGAAAACCATTTCTCAAAGACTAAGATTATAAGATAATCACTGGACTAGTCAATATAGTAAGTCATAAAACAGAAACAATTAACAGATATTTAAAACCGAATAACTAATGTACCAACTCCTTAATCCAAAAATTGCAATAAAAGAAAATGAATTAAGCATTTTTCTCATCTTTTTGGTATATACTGTATTTCAGAACAACCGAATAGCTCTAGTTATTGAAGGCATGTTCTTTATTCAGCTAATAATGTGAAAAGATTGACAGAATTAAAAAGAATTGTAGCCCATAATGAAATACTTTATGAAGGTGATAATCCTCAGTAGATGAACTCATTCGATGAAAGGTTGATGAGGATGTTTATAATGGAGTTGTCATACTTGAAGCACTGATCAATCAGCATCCCCGAGAGTGGGACTATCAGACAGAGGCAGCAATGCACAGCCCTTCCTATGAAGTATTCTTGTACCATCCTCCCCCAAGAAAGATGGACCAGAATCCAATGCGTCATCCAAAGCTAACTTCTAGTTTATAGAAAACATGAGAGGCAGTGGGATAAGTTATATAGTATGAGGTAACACACAAATCCAGAATGTGGCACATTCTACAGAACAACAGACCTGGCTTCTATAACAGTAAATGGCATTTTTAAAAAGGGGCAATAAGTTGGTGCCATAGCTCAGCGGCTAGAACACTGGCTTTGTGAAAAAGGGGGTAAGGTCACCACGGACTGCTACAGATTAAGAGTCTCTTGAGTCCAAACTGCCATGTGTGATGTTCAGAACCCCTCAAGGCCATCTTCTATAGGAGCTGGAAGAGCCTTTATTTAACTTTATTACTTTCTCTTTTAGGGATTTTTTCCCAAAACATAAACCTGACCATTTCGCTGTTCCACTTAAATCTTTCCATTCTATATCCAAATTCACAGCTTGTCACACAAGTCCCTTCAATCATGTGCCACCCTCCCACCTACTTTCTAGCTTCATTTCCAGCCATCACACTGTCATCCTATACTTCAGCTACTTGCAGCTCCAAAACATTCCAATATTTTGAAAGTCTCTACTTTTGAACATAAACTCTGATAAACATTCTGTCTGCCTGGAATACCCTTTCTTCCCAGTTAATCTGGTTGACTTCCCTTTTGTCTTTAAGACACAGTACGGGAGCCCCTTCCTCTAGGAAGTCTTCCTTAGTGCCCCCAGTCTCGGTTGTCACACCTCCTCTGTGCTTCCTGAGCACCGTGGACTTTGTTTGTCACAACAATTATCATTAGTTGCAGTTACATCAGTTATCTCTCTTGTTCACCAAAGTGAACTCTTTGGGAGTACGAGCTGTGACCTGTGCATCTCTGTCTGCGTCTTTGTCTGCGTCTCCCACAGACGGCACGGTGGCGGGAGGCAGGGAGTGGGAGAGCGCAGGTCCAAGAGCTGCTGTGGGATGAGAGGCCCATATGAAGAGTAACGTATTTTTACTAAAATATATACTGCAAGGGGGAAAACACCATGTTATATAATAGAAAATTAGTAAAGTAATGCCAATGTATTGAAGTTAATTTAATATAATCTCAATAAAAAATCTTAATAGGCTGTTTTTATTAGAATACAACCTATCTTGCTAGACTTATTATAGAAATATAAATAGGTAAATGTATAAAATATTATTTTGAAAAAAAAAAAGAAATTATCAGGTGTAAGTAGCTTTATACAATATTAGAACATATTATAAGCAGCAATAATTAAAATTGTATGGACTAGCACCAAAAAAGACCTACTAAATAAAAAAGTTCAGGAATAGACCTTATTATACACAAGAATTTAATATATAATAATAAAAAGAATCATTACTGAACAAAGGGAAGCAGAAAAAGGATTTCAGTTTGGGGCAGTGGTCAGAAACATCAGAAAGTTCATTAGCTCCTGCCAACTGTGTTGGCCAACACTGAATGGCTCCTTCACTCTCCACACGTCTGCGGAAGGCCCGCTCTTACGCGAGGCGCTCGTCACGCAGGGCTGAACAAGAAAATGCACCTCCTTTTAAGGTTCTGTGATGAGCATCCTGCAGATGAAAAAGAAATGGAACTTTGAAGGGAAAACAAGAGTCTTTAACTTCTCAATCTAACCAATTATCTACCTAGAAACATCACCTGGCCTTCCTACTGCCCAGGGAAAGGAATACATCAGTGCTCCTCACCAGGAGAGGGGAGAGGAACGTCTCGAGGTGCTTTCTGGATTGGACAGCACTGCTTAGCGAGGTGCTTCTGAAACACACGCACCACTTAAAAGCTGGTCACTACTCAATATTTTCCTTTCTGAGTAGAGGTCTCCATATCCTTGAGATTATTCATTCAGCGAACAAATTTTTGTTGGTCACTGTTATAGATGCTAAAAATAAAAAGATAAATAAGAGACTGGAGGACCTCAAGACCTAAATTCAGGCCATTTAATACCTTAGTACTAAACACCTACTTTATGCCTGGTCCTGAGGTACGGAGAAGAGAGAGACACAGCCCCTGGAATTTAACCCACTCTCACCTTGCCGAGGTGTGCAGAAAAGATTTAAGTTAAAAAAAATTCATTCGGGTACTGTTTGTGGCAGTGAAAAGCTAAAAACAACTTACAAGCTCACCCTATTAAGAGTCCAATTTGTTAAATAAATTATAGTCCATTCAAACAATAAATATTTTGCAGCCATTAAAGACTAGAATAATTCAATATGGAAAGGTGATTATTCAGTTAAGTGGAAAAAGAAAACAGATTCTCAGAAGAGCAGGCACAGTATGAGCCAATATTTATTTATTACATAATTCATAACAGAAATCACATTTATGTAATAAACACATATGTGTGTTTATACGCAGAGGAAAGGGTCTAAAAGAATATATAATGAAATCGTCATGGGTGTCCTCTGAGAAGTGGGACTGTGTGTGTGTGTGTCTGCGCGGTCCAGCTCACAGCCTGTGGGTTGGCTCGGCCTGTAGGCAGCCCCAACAGTGCTGGCTGTGCTGTAACAAGAGGTGCACCCACTCAGGCTTCTTTGGATTAGAGATCCTTCTCTCTATGTGTTCCCTACCTTATCCTTTTCTCTCTCCATAAAAGGCACTGTTGACCCAGCTTTATGCATGAGAACTGAAGACACAGAAGTTTTCAAACAGAATCCTCTACCTGTCAAACCAACGGACCTCACCACCCTGATGTTACTTGATCTTCCAATGGCATCTGACACACTGCCTTCTTCCTTCTGACGTATTCTCTTCTCCTGCTTGTTGAGGTACCACCTGTTACTGCTTTCCCTCTTCCTTTTCTCTCTCTTCTGCTGGCTGCATATGCCTTGCTCGGCCTTTATCTGTGAATCCCAGCTGGGGTGTTGTCCTTGGCCTCCTCTCTTCTTTCTCCACCTGCCTTCCCTGAGTAATCCTACCTATTCCTGTGGTCCAACTACCATCTGCAAGCAGATGACTACCAAATATGTATTTCCAGCCCAAAGGCTCACACTGAGCACAAGACCCAAACACCCAGTCCCCTACTGGACATCTCGACGTGCATATTTTGCAAGCACCTCTATTTCAACATTTCTAAAATAGAAAATGAATTCATTATTATCCCCCTCTTCCTGTATTTCTTGTCACACAATGGCACCACCATTTACCCATCAAGTAAGGCTCCTTAACATTTCCTGTGTCTTTCCCTTTTCCGCCTCAGGCCCCTCTTCATCCTCACTGTTGCCCTGGTGCAGGTCCCCATTACCTCTCTACAGGCCTATTGCAATGATTTACTGACCAATCTGTGTTCCCAGTCTGGCCTTCTCCAGTTGATTCTCCACCCCGAAGTAAAAAATAACCTTTTAAAACACAGTTTGATCACATCGCTCCCTTACCAAAAACCCTTCAGTGGCTCTCTCCACTGCCCTCAAATTAATTTTTAAGTATATCATTCAAGCTCTGGATGACCTGAACTTCTTTGGCCTTATGTCTTACCAGGTTGCCCCCTTTCCTCCCTCCCCTCACACCCAGCCCTCCTACCCCTTTATCTCCATGCACCGCACTCTAGCCAGAGAGCAGCTTGCACGTCCTCGTTTTGGCTCAGGCTCTCTGGGCTCCTCATACTTCTGTGCCTTCGCTCACTGTTCCCTTAGCCTGGAATGTTTAAATGCTCACCCTCCCTTCTAAATCGCAAACGTCTGGAGGGCAGAACCGCACCTTACTCCAAATTACAGCCCCCAACTCCCAGAATAGTGCCTAGCACAGAATAATCAACAAATGTTTGTTGGACTGAATCAAAGTTAAATTTAAAAATTTACATTTGACTCTCAAATTGGTTTTGTACTAACATTTGAATGTGGATGCAGTTGACTGGGAAAATCACCAGATGTAAACAAAATAATGGAATGATACTGTGAAGAACTGAATCCAAAGGTGATGGGAAAACCAAGAGCTTATAATTCTTACCCATTGCTAAAAATTATTTCTGCTTACTACTCCAGATTTTATATGAATTACTTAATTTTTATAACTAAACAATGAATTAAATATGATTTTTATATCTCTTTTTACAAATGAGAAACTGAAGGTCAGCAAAGCAATGTGCCCCAGGTCTCTACAGTAAGAGTGGAAGCCAGGATTTGAATACAAGCAGCTTGACTCCAGGGCCTGCACACTTAACCCCTAGCATCCTGCATTTCTTTGTTAGTAGGGACTGGAACACAGGGAGTGCGCGGTAAGGCTCTACTGAGATCATGTTGTTTACCTTCCTGGTATTCCATATCAGAAGAGAACAGGCCTTGTGAGCTGGCCACAGGGCTTAAGGCTCCTGGCCTGCAGGGGGCAGCACACCCCACCGATAACTCTCACAGGACCCCCATCCAGACTGGTCCC